AAAAGGCCCCCAACCAGATGGAGCTGAAAACATCGACCTCTACAACCTCACCACCTGTTCTCAGAACAAAGTAGATACAACTCGTTTCTTATTTTAAACTCTGATGTCCAAATCCAGGACAAACCAGTCTGAGTAATGAAGTAATTCATCAGTAATCATGGATGGATATTATACTATTATTATGCCCTGTGGGTATAACATTACAAAGCTGTTGTTTGCAGTTTGAATGCAACAGCACAACAGATACTTCTTTTATTCTGTTGTAGTTTTTCAAAAGGCTGAGGGTTATGATTTTAAAGATTTCACACTCAAAATGTGGGTACAACTTATGTGTACAAGAAAGAATGATGTCTCAGGCTGTAGCTCCATAAACCTGTATTTAATTACAAACACGTTTTAAGGCTCTGAAGGTTGATCTCACTTTTCTTTCAGGCTGAAGACGACATGAATAAAGTTAATTATGCTGAAGTGGATTTTTCCCACATTCCTGCCACCAACAACACGTCCTGTAGTAAAACGGATGAAGTCGTCTACTCCACACCTCTGGTACATACCAGGCCTTCCAACCACACCACAGATGCTTCACCTCCTCTGTACTCTGCAGTTAAGAAACAGTATTAATGCTGTTGATGGCACTTTCCCTCTCACAAAGATCAACAGGTGATTATAATTCAGACAAAACTGAAGGTTCTTTTCTGTTTATTGCAAATATTAATGTGCTTTCGATCAGTTAATCTCAGGTTAAAAATGTGTCTTTATGGTAGTTGATAGTTTAGTTTAACTTAACAGAAAACTACAATTCCCATTAATATTTCCATAGAAACTCTGTAGGACAGATTTAATGGAAACAGTTGCATAAAGCTCTGCAAACTGACCTGTCAGTTAGTAGTACATTGCATTTAGCTGTTGGATTTCCAGATATTAATCCTATAACCAAACCTGTGTCTGTAATCATGCAGCGTTATTAGAGATCCCTAATTGTATTTTTTACTGTGGCTAACACTCTGGATAGAGGTTTACCTCAAGACCATTCTGCCTCAACTCATGCTCCATAACTTTGGCTAACGGTGTGCATGGTTGAATATTTTAAAAGCATTTATTTTAATCAAATAGTAGTTTCTTTTTTACCAGACCTGAAAAAACTGATACTAAAAAGAAAGAAATTAAGGAAGCTGCAAAAAAAACAAACAAACAAAGAAACTGTTATTATATTATGTTAATTATTCCAGTTTACTCTTACCAAAGCCATCCTGGTCCTAAACAACTTTTACCTGTGTATAAAATCACAGCAGAAATAAACTGTGACCTGCTACAAGCAGGTGGTTGACAAGCTGTCATGGTGGCTACATCCATCTTTCATATACATTCTTTAACATCCAAAGACCTGACATCCACATATGTGGAAAATACATTTTGGGTTGTCGACACCAAAATACCCAATTTTGCTCTACAACGGCCAGAGATCCACTTACGAGGACATTATACTGCCACTGTTCTATCGAAATTTAAAACGAATGTCCTCTTATGTGGATCTCAGAAACAAAAATCAGGTATAAAAAAAAAATCAGGTAATTCTTTGTTTTTCCATTCATCAGGTCCCAATCAGTCCAAATAAGGCTCACATATCATTCACTCATTCGTATACTGAGAGTAACTAAATATGTATTACTATATAATCTTAATAATATTACATTATTATTTTTCTGAGATATTGCATTTGCACATATGTGTTCTTATTTAAAATTGGTTTTATATTTATGTTTTATTGAACAATGTTAATGTATTTGTTACAGTGTTGCTGTAAAATAATATTTCACTGGAAGGATTATACTATTTAAGTAAATAAAATGTAAGAATATTTTGATGTGTTTCAAGGAAATGAACGGTCAAAAGAAATACATAACATGTGTTTTCTCAATAAAAATACTCCAAGTCTGGATACACATTTCTTCAGTGTCTGCATTGAAAGGCAATTTATTCTCCGATGTAGCTGTTGGGAAAACAGGACCTGTTATCATACTGTAGAAGTACAATACAACACAAGTGTGTGTGTGTGTGTGTGTGTGTGTGTGTGTGTGTGTGTGTGTGTTTATCACATTTGTAAGGCATGCAAGTATTGTTTAACCCAACATATTAAATAAAAACTTTGATAAAAAAGTTCTATGTTGAGCGCTCAATTGACCTGTTGCTATATTTCTAGGCAGAAAACAAGAAGAAAACCAAATATGAAAAACAGTCTTCAGTTGGATTTGCAGTTTTTTAAAAAATGGTGGATGCTGAGATGTTCTCAGGGCAGAAATGTTGAGGTAATCCCTCCAGTGGAATTTGGGTGTATATCGGGTTTTGCTCCCAGTTTGGTGTGCCTAGAAAGTCTCCAAAGCAGAAATGGGCAATTCATTTTTCCAATGGGCCACATGAGAAACTGGGACTGCTGTGGAGGATCCCACCCACAGAAATAAACACAAAGCGGACCTGACGCATCACACGCATCTGTGAGATGTCGGCTTCTCACCCAACGCCACGTACACAGACTCGCCATTGGGGCTGAAAGCCGACATCTCACAGCTTCTGAAGCTGCCGGTTTTGTCACTCTCTGACCAAAAGACACTGAACCAGCAGCAAAAGAAGATCAGAACTGCACTTCATGTTTGATAAATATTGTCATTAATTCCTTCTTACTTTGGCTGTTTTGCTTCCACCACAATATAATCACACTTCCTGCTCAGCTCCCCCCCCCCAGTGTATTTCAAGAATAGTTTCCAGTCTAAAAATCTCTGGTTTTTGCATTATTTGTTCTCTTATTATGCACAAGTCATGAACAGCGCTGTCGGCCACTATTTTCCCCCAAAAAATGATCTCTGACAAGAAGGCCTCATTTCTGCTGTTCAGTACGCAGAAATTTAAACTTTTTTTAAATTATGCCAAATTGCAAAACGCTTATCTGTGTCTCTAATAAAACCTCTGTAACTTTGCTCTGCTTCACTCAGCATCAGGTAATGTTCATGTGTTATAATGACCAACTACTACTGTAATTTTGGAGATGTTATCTCCTTATACAGTATAGTTACAGTAGAGTTATAGTGGGATGCAAATAATATCAGGCATCTTATCTTATCTTATCTTATCTTATCTTATCTTATCTTATCTTATCTTATCTTATAACCACAGAGTAGTAAGTGGTGCTGTTGTGGAACAATCCTAAATGTACAGAGAAGTTTTAATTGGTCAGATAAGATTTAAATCATGTCAGAACCATTGCCTTTGATTCTGACTTCATGTTCCAGATGAGATAAAAGGATCTTTTGGTGAAGTATCAAGCAGCATACAGGTCTAGAAGCTGTAAAACTGCAGGGACTACAAAGATCAGCAGTGATGATTTTCAGCACGATGCAACAATATTTATTTACCAACCTTTATCGACAAAAGGAAAACTGACAATGAAAACTGTCGGTTTAACACTGCCTGGGCTGGCCTGACCTGCAAAGTTTAAGGTGTGCACTGCACAATTTCCCCCACAAGGTTGTGCTGTTGAGTCAGGTAAGTTCTCATGCAGAAGTGGTATAGAAGAAAAGTGTTTGATTATTGCTTGTAGCTGATGTTGCACAATGTAGCAAAACAATTTAGCAGCAGACAGTAAGCCAACACATGTTGCTTCAAATTCTCTTATAATAAATGGAAATTAAAATTAGTTTAAACAACACAATTTCCATCTAATCACAGCAGAGGTAGTGAAGGTAGATGAGTTTCAAAACCTTGGATAAATCCAGTCTCCTGGAGAGAGGTTGGACTATATCCCAGTATCCCCTTGGCTTGCTACCAATACATTGGTGTTTGTCCCTGTAGACGAGAGGGTTTGTTC